AATAGTGAAAGCGGTCCCACTTCTCAGAATTCTATGGACGTCTTGGTGGCAGCTTTGGACAGGACGGCTCAGGGCAAACTCCTAGAATTACAGGGAAAAAGGCAAATATGAAAAGGTGCATCGTCCGCTACTTTCCCAGATGGCGGAATCGCCGCAATGCCGCAAAATGCATGTGAAGTACCCGCTCGCTGAATTGAGCCTCAAGGGTTCCTAGTAGAGTTAAGATGACGGTCTCGAAGTATAATCCACGCTGGTCATCTGGGCAGAATCATATGAGCGTATCCTCTTCGCTGCTTCACAACTGGTAAATAGCAGAGGTGCGGCAGTGAGGAAGGCGTACTGCTATGCATGACTCCGCTCCTGTGAGTAACGCGGATTGTGCTTTTGAGTAAGCTCATTTCTGAAGTCGTTTCACTTTTTGAAATTCAATTTATGCTCCACCAATATTTCAAGAAACTGGTAGCACTAACTTCCAGGTTTTGCACATGAAGGGATCTTCTTGCATGATTTGCTGATGCACGCCTGGACTCTTTCGACGCATATCTCACCGCTCGGGCAGGAATGTCGAGCGCAACCTGAAAGTGGACTTGTCAATTCTGCAAGGAGGAATTGAAAAGAAGAAGGGAGGGGGAGAGAAAAAAGAACTCAAAAAGGAAGAAAGAAAGGAGCAGTCAAAAAAAAAACAAGATTAGTGGAAAGCTGAATATGTTTAACACATATGTAGCTGATATCGTCACAATCAGTTGGAACAGTTATAGGGGCGGGGTTGAGGGCGGAAATACTCCGCCTCTGGCTGCCTTGCTCTGCCAACGGTGATCGATCAGTGGCCAGTTTGGGAAGAGCCAATGGTGAAAATTCTGCTAGTGGATTCTATGTTTCTACACAAAGCCCCAACTGATTGCGACGATATTAACAGTAAGATTGCTGATGACTTGTATATGTTTGCTGCTAACAGAAAAAAAATAAGGAGAGCTAGAAGAACAGCAGAAACAGTGCCATTGTTCATCAGTAGAAATGCGGATGTGGTGGGGAGGGGTGGTGCGGAAAGGAGTGCAAGACTATGCGTGGGTGGGGGTTCACTAGGAGGGCGAGTCACCTTTGTTCGCACGTTGGCTGCTGGCAATTTACATGGCTCATACCCTTACTCTTGTGGTAAGGTTCTTATCGGGCAACGCTGATTTCCAACACGGGACGTCGTGTTTGATTGGAGGAAAGGTGGGATCATACATACTCTTCCGAAAAATGTTTTGGCTGTTCACTTTTCTTGGTGGCCTGATCAAGTGGGCTGCATCGGGCTCCCTCTGGAGAGAGAAGTGGAGAATTCTAAAAAAAACCGTCAAAGGAGAACGGAACCGCCAGAGCAAAAAGAAATGGGGAGTGGGATTTTGCAAAGTTTTCCTCCAACGATAGGACTCTGCTGTTTGCGATGGCCGTGATTGTGATGACATGGTAGCACCATTTGGGCGCTGTTTATCGACGAGGGGGGGGCATTTTGTACATACTGCTTCGCTTAGCTCCGGTTTGCAAATCTCACTTTGGTAAACTTGTGAACGCTTGTAAAGCTGGAGCAGGATCGTCTAGCCACCATCCCAAAACGTGTCAACTCAAGAAAACGCTACCTAGATGGGTCGACACATCTATGGAAAGCAAAATGCCCCCCCCCCCCCCCGCCCCCCGTCGATAAACTGCGTCCACCATTTGCTAGTCCTTACCCAGAATATTGAGGGTTGTTCACAGGGAAAGGCAATAAGAAGATGTCTTTCTGTAATGGATATCGCTTAGAAGATCACTTACCGTTGTATTTATCTGGAAGACACATGAGAATCGGTCGACAAGGTGGAGTTTTACATGGCCCTATCCTTTCATCGCAGAATGTTCCAGGTGGGCAGTAGTGATTAACGCAATCTGAAAATCTATCCTTTATTGCATTTGGTCACAATGGAATCACATAAAAAACACTGGCAGGGTTTCTGGAGCACTGAGATCACCAAGATGAAGCCATCCGTGAATTCACAGAGGACCTAAAGGCATAGTTCACAGGACATTGTGAGCCAACAGGTCCCCTATCTTTCATCACTCATGACCCCTCTCCATTCCTAACACGGTTCAGCAAAAACAGACGTTCTGCCTGCTCATTGTAAATACAAAATTCTGCGCTATTGTCTCAAACAGTTTCCTCACAAAAAGGGCAAATGCATGGAAACCGTACCGTCGCATTTGGAAATGCAAATTGAAGCAGCAAAAAAGTAGAGAATCAGCAAGGACGATCTGTGACACATGTTTACTCCGAGGAGGTCACACACATGCCCTTTGTAGCAAACGACTAATCCGGTTCTATCGTGGCATGTCTCGGTGATGGCACACGTCATTACCCTGTTTGAAGAATCGGAAGCGTTATGACTGATAGATGTTGTGGCATGTACAAGCACGCTAAACGTTATCAAAGTCAGAAAATGGAGGACAGCACGGATGATGTGAAACGATTTTAGTCTCAGAGTGTGCCATGCATTCGACATTCATTCAGAATCGTGAAGCGTAAGTTGCCAACACAACCGATCTTCCATTATGAACATTATGCCCTCCAGAGCGCCTTCAAAGGCGAGCACCGGCGATCATTCGCATCTCAGATAGCTGATTGCGGTTTGCTTGTAGAGACAACATTTGTGAGGAACTTCGTATGAACAAAAAAACAGAAGAAACATAGCCTGCCCTGGATGAACGCCTTTCGAAACGCATTTATACTGTCCATCAACTCCATCTCCATACTACTCCCCTCATTCCGGCTCAGCTGATGCCCCTATCGAGAATCTAAGCGACGCGATCAAAGCAAAGGTTTTCATTGTTTTTCGTAATCCAGCTGTCGTATCTCACTGAAGGCGGGCTTGGAAGGCGGGTCTGGAGGCGGAGTTCAGTGGAGAGAAGGAGGATGTGCACTGAACCTCCAGTCTTATCATTGCGGACGCTCACCAGCAGGCCGTGAGCTACGTCTGTTTCGAGTCCTGCGTGTAGCTCCCTTGCTTTACCAGTAGCGATATCTCAAGGGAGGAAACACCAAGTGGATGGAAACCCGCTGAGTGAGGAGGCTGAATTGCGACCCAACAATTGCGGTGAAATTAAGCGTATATTGCGCTAGCGCCCCTCTCTCACAATTTTTCACTGCAAAACTGGTACAGGGCTGTTCGTCGCAGGCAACGCTACCCTCTCGACGCCATATTTTCAGCTTCTAGACCTGGTAGCAGACCGTGCCTGTAAGCGGAATTCGGATATTTGGTTGGACCCGGTATTATATTAGGGGTGTTCAAGGTATTTATTTTCCATATAGGTAAAAAGGAAAGTTAAGAAATCAAATTTACTTTTCCATGTAGTCCCCATAACCTCAACACTTTTGTTTGCTCGGGAAACTAACTTTTCAATACCCTTAAAAATATTTTTCCTTCTTGTCCCCAAATGTGCGTTAATTGCCGCCTTCAGCTCTTCATCGTCAGAAAAACGCTTTCCACGAGATCTTTCCAAGGTTGGGGAACAAGAAGTAATCACTAATCATTTTCTCAATTTAATTTTCTTAATTTTCCTTCCATTTTTCTCAATTTTTTTAATCATAATCGTCTTCTCAATATTGTCACATCAGTCGTTCTGGTCTTCTTTCACCAAGGATAACTGTAATAGCATTAATGATAACTAAATGAAATTTCATGTTTGTACGCTCAGGGGGTGTCGCTACCCATCGAAATGATTTAAATCGCTTCGTCAAATTACCCTGACACCGAGAATGCTTTGAACGGCCCTCGTACATAGGACCTGAGCGTTCCACTCCTC